ATATATATATATATATATATATATATATATATATTAGGATTAAATACATTGATCTGGACAAAAAAAAAGCCTCAAGTCACCTGTCTAGGTGTGGATGTCCAAAATATGACCATATAACACAAAGTTACTGTAAAAGCTTTATTTTGAACTCTTAAAAACAAGCAAACAAAGAAAGTAAAAACTATTTATTTAATGGATGCCACCAGAAGATTCAAAACATGTCATTCCACACTTTGCCAGTTTGATTTCAGAGTAGTGTCATTAACTTTCAACCATGCCTGATGGTTGAAATGTGTGTATAATGAAAATGCCATTAACCCAGTGACATCTACAAACTCATCAAAAGGATACATTAACATGCCAACAGTAACTGACCTCGAACAGAACTCCAGACAGTTTGCAGAGCTCTGTGCCAATGATCCATCCCTTAACCGCATCTACAGCCCAGAGAGGCAGTGTAAGCAGCAGCAGGCTGTCTGTTACACTCAGAAGAAGGACGAACATGTCCATCACACTCAGGTTCAGCGTCTTAAGCCACAGTATTGCCAGCACCAGTCCGTTTCCCAGCAGCCCACATAAGAAGCCCACAGAGTAAAGCAGGGGCATGAAGACCGCCAAAGCGCCAGAGACTGTGCTGGACGGACAGATCTCCTTGTACTCATAATCCTCATAGTCGAAGGTGTTGTTATTCTCAAACAGTCCGTGCAGATCCACCTGCATGGTTGATTAAAATTAAAACAGTCCAAGGGTCAATGAGAAACTGTAGATTAATATCTGCCTGCAGCTACTCGTGAACTCAGTTGTCAACAGCGGCGAGTGTTTTATGTGCAGAGTCACATGCTGGGTATTCACATGATGTTGCAACAATAGCTAACGTTAAATGGAAAGTAAAACTGTGGGTGGGACAGCTGACTGCTGTAGTAGTAGATAAAACTGAGGAGCGAATACGCGCGCACATACAAAAATAAACTAAATTCTGCTTTGACACTGAACTACTTCTTGAGTTTGCTAATGCACACTGGGTTTGTTTTTTAAGTTCGCAAACCCCTTAGCTGCTCGCGAACTGTTAATTCCGAAAGCTATGAATATCAAAAGCTGGGTTTGTTTGGTTAGTGAGTTACTAGATACAGTTCAAGATATCTGTACAACAAACGTTAAACTTGATAGCACGACAGAACATATTCATGAAACCGACAGTAAATGAAACTCGAAGTATCTGTAAGGCTAAGAAAACACTTACAGGTGTTGCCATGTTCCTGCTCGTCTTTGTTTCTTTGTCTTCCTTTCTAAGCAGTCCGCATTTTCTTTAGTTTACGTAACCCGTCTATTGGGACTGCAATACATTTGGTCACCGTGCACGCACAGAGTGAAAGACAAGACAAGGAGTAGGTAACAATGATCCTGCCCTTGTTAAATTTCTTCGTCTTAACCCATTACTTCATCCGGGTAGCTCACCGTGCACTCTTGCCCCAGCTGGTTATATCTATAAATACCTTACACAAACAAACTTTGTAATGTAGCCTACACACATCCTCCCGCGGTGATTTCAGCAAATGTAGTGCGCCATCTAGTGTTTGATAGTCTAAAATGCAGCTGAATTGAACATTGTCCACAGTGTACACACACACACACATACACATGGTTTTTTTGGGGTGGTTGATGTGCTATATAGCACCGCTACCCTATAAAGAACCTGTTAAGCCCATGGTTCAGCTGTTCTTGCTATAAGCACCACCACTGCCATACAAAAGAACCCTTTAAGCCTCTGTATAACTCTCTCTTAGTTTTAGTTGGGGGAAAGGATTAAAAATCAGCATTAAAATAAATGAAGTGCATTTCCTGAAGATAACGTGGTTCTCATCCTTTTTGCCCCTAATTCCAGCGCCTCCACACAAGATTTGTTTTTACTTCAGCAAAGTATAAAAATGCTTCAAAACAGCTTTAGCCATTGTAGTAAATTCCTATTCATAGCAAACATATGAGAGTGAAGTAACATATCTAAAATCTAAAGAGGAGACTGGGGTTCCTCTTATATATTTCTACATACCACCATTTGACAAAGGTGCTGTAGGCTATAGCACATTTAAAGATAGCACTTTAAAGGGGTCATATGATGTTGCTAAAAAGAACATTATTTTGTGCCTTCTTTGCGTGAACATTTGGACGGTGTTATACAAGTCTTCCCACATCGTGACGTAGACATGTGGGGGCGTGTTTAAACGAGGTGTTTTAGGAGGGCGTGGACCAGTCTTAACTTTTATAAAGAATATCTCTTTGGGTTTGAGACTTTAGTCTTTGCAACTTTAGGGA